GCGTGAGACGCTCGGAAACAGGTCGATCGATGAAAATGAGATTGTCTACAGCGTACTCACTCGTACGATATTTGAGAAAAAAAGGGTAATAGCTTCCTTCCTCTTAGCTGCAGTTTTGAACCTCTGTAAATAACTGTTAAGTTTTCAGATTAGCACAGATCTGTTTTTACTGAAGGTTTTTGCAACAGTGTTGTGATGCTCGTCGTTTTGTCGACTGCATTCTCTGCATCGTTCTTTCTCTATTTCCTACCTAGCTTGATACTTATATTTTATGAAGGACTTCTTGATCGTTTGAATATTCACAAATATTTATAGGTTGAAAGGAATAAATTTTGTTTGGGATAGTTTTTAATAGATTTTTTATAATAAAATTGCTTTAAAAACTGTTAAAAAGTTGTCTCAAACGAAGCCGATTAACTGCAAGTTTTTTCTCCTGTGAAAATTTACCATCTGACTTTCAAAAACTACCCATCATATTAAAGCTTCAGATTTTATTTGGAATGACTTTCTAATTATTCTTTAAAATAATAAAAAAAGTCATCCAAGATTCAGGATTCGTTTTGGACGGCTTTTTTATTGCTTTTTAAAACAGAGTTTTAGTACAAAATTTTTTATTTTTAAACTAAAACTTCGTTTTAGAAAACAATAAAAAAACCGTCCCAAACGAAGCCTAAATCTCAATCTCTCCTACGGTCATGTTGTTCTCACCCTATTTTCTATTTGAGATTCTTTAAAGATAGAGAAGGCATTTGAGATGGTTAAATCAGATAAAATTAAATTTTATTTAAGAAAATTAATCGTTTGTTTTTAGATAAAAAAATATCTAAATGATTGTAAATTAAAATATGGGATGTTTTATATTTGTATATAATACAAACTAGATTCCTTCTCACGATCGTGCTTTTGTCAGATGTCGAAAGATAAAGTATTTTTGTCACGGTTCAATCCTTATCTCGAAGGGGTTGCCCTTTTCTCTATTCTTTGGGAAACAAGAAGTTTTCTACTGCAAAGAAAACTCAAATCAGATTTTTTTTTATTGATTTTTTAAATTTAAATTAATGCATCATAAAAAATTTCATCCGATCGATATGAGTCTTAATTCACTGGTAATATTAAAAAAAAATTGAATTAAATTTATAATCGTCCACACTTTGACTTTTAACAAATTTATAGTAAAATTGAGTGTTTTGATAAGATGAATTCAAAGACACTTAGAGTGATTTGATCGAAGTCCAAATGAGCTATATTAAGTTGTTGAAGTAAAATTAAAAATCTTGAAACATTATTTGAAAGATCAAATAATCTCCAAATTTTCTATGCTTATAGTCAAATTGATTGGCTCTGAAACGAATACAACAAGACAAAAATTACTAGATTCTGATGTCATTAAGGCATTTAAATGCTAAACGGATGATCTATGATCAAAATATTTAATATGAACTATCCAATAGATTGCTATATAAATTGGTAGAAACTACTAAAATGTCACACATAAACTACTATAAATATATAGATCCTTATTTTCTACATGCAATAGACTTAAATTTGAGTTGAGAGAGAGAGAGTTTAGAGGTATGAAGAACTTTAGAGATCAACTTGACTTTTGACATCAATGATCATCGCCATCCATCAACATCGCTTGACTACTGTTTTATGGCAATCATTGCTATCATTCGAACCATCGTTTCCTAACTATCATCATTTGACCATTATCATTTGATCTTCATGATTTATTCATTATCATCTAACCGCCATTGCTTGATGACCTTCATCAAATCATCATCAAGACCGCCTAATCATTCTTATCTTGTTATTGTCATTCAATCATCATCGTTTGACAAGCATAATTGAACTGATGCATCTTTTGTATTCTCACTTACATTCACATAAATACAAACTTTTATTACACATCTCATCTCTGATTGAGAGAAAGGACATACTTTTGTAACCTATCTACAAAGTGGATCGTTTTATCAAGTGTAAAATTTTTTTAATTATTATCTGTGTGAGTTGAATCTTTGTGAAAAACAAAGATGTAAAAATTATATTTTTATCGCCATAAATTTTTCTAGCACACAACAAGATAAATCTCAAATTGAATAAAACTTCTAATATAAAAATAATTTATTGATAATTAATCAAATTTATATTATACTAATTTCAAAATAAATATAATTAATTCTCATTTTTTCAGTGGCATTTATCCTTTTTCGGTGCAGTGGTCAAGCAATAATGAGTTAAGAAATATATAAATAAAAAAAATTATTTTAATTTATTTTGAATAAAAAAATTAAAAGAAATGTAGGATTAAATCCCATAATAATTTCAACTACATGAAATGATAAAAATGAATCAATTTATTATTACTAAAATATATTTTATAACCTTAACTTCAAGTAATCAAATAAGGCCTTAAATCAAGAATAATTAGATGGGGGAATAAAATCTTGGAAAAGAAAGCAAAATCTCGACTGGATTCCTCTCCCACTACAGACTCAGGATTGCGTACAAGAGATTGAAACCCAAATATATAGACGTTTTATACCTGAGCTTTGTGGGCCTGCTCAAAGAAGGGAAGCCATAGGATTCATGGATAGAGAACCAATGACCTCCACGAATTCACTTAATATTGTGAAAGGATAGGTTGTCATCAATCAAATATAATAATTATATCTTTAAAATAATAATTTATGTCTTGTATTTTGTAATTTTTCTCTTAATACTTATATCTTTAAAATTATAATTTATATCTTATATTTTGTAATTTTTCTCTTAATACTTTCAAACAATTCATCTGATACTATTATAATTAAATTGAATAAAATAAAACTATCACAATTTTAATAGGCAAATTTTAGGCTAGATATGTGTAATACATTCATTCTTACATAAAATTAGGTTTCACTTGTGTTAGAAATTTTCTTTTATTTGAATATCTTTTTAAGTCAAAATTTAAACTTTGATTATGAATTTGTTTGAGATAGATTTTCCAATGCATTGATTTTCATACATATATCACAAACTAGGCTTCGTTTGGGACGGCTTTCTTACTGTTTCTTAAAGAAGCTTTCTAGTACAAAAATTTTAGTACTAGAAAGTAGCTTTAAGAAGCATCAAGAAAGTCATCTCAAATAAAACCTTAATTTGACAATTGCTTTCTCATTAATTTTTCAGAAGCTTATGCAATGAAAAGCTTATTTTTTGTTAGAATAATTAAATTGTTTGCGTTGCAACAATATCATTATAGACTATAAAACGTTATAGTTGTATGGACCCGAACTGACCTAAATCATAAATTTACTTACTTAATCTCATTATAGCGAATAAAAGTGTAAGAGATTGCCTAGGGTTGTATGCTTTAAGTTCAAATAGCCCAAGCAAAACCCTAACAAATCTTGTTAGGCCCTAGTTGATTCGCTCGAATTATGCTTGACTTCATCAAGCGTCATAATATGCTTGACAATGATATTAGTTGACTAAAAAAATGTGAACATTTATTTGTAATTTTATGTATTTATCCGAGTGACTATTTATATGAAGAATAATAAAAAAAAATAATATATTTGTCAATATAACGAATAAAAAAATTCATTTAAAGTATATTTTTATTTAGGAGAAACATTATGAAGAGTGCGTGCTCAGATATGCAAATTAGGCTTTTTGCTCCAACAAAAAAAGAAATTACAGAAAGATAAAGTAGTTGAGGAAAGAGGCATCAGAAAGATGCAAAAGTGAGCCAAGATTCGAGCTGCCTTTAGCCTTTCACTTTGTTTGAGAGCGGTTAAGTGATTCCATCCGCTTTGGTAAGTCTAGAATGTCTCCAATTTGCAAGAATACCCCGTATGAACCGCTACCGTTTTATTTAATTATTTATAAAATCCGTTTCTTATAGTCAAGTTGGCGCATTTTGGCAATAGTTGAAAATTTTTTCTAACAAAGTTGAACTTTTTTTTTAATGGATTCTTAATTTTATATATCACATATTATCTCTTAATATAAATAAATTATTAAATAGTATAATTAAATTTAACATTTTTAGTATTATTTAATTATATAATATAATATTTCATTTATATCAAGAAAAAATTGAAAATACATTAGGAGCCTAATTTTAAAACTGTCCAATTTATGTTGTAATTAACATAATTTAGAGTCTATTTGGTGAAAAATTATTCTGCGCGGAGACTACATGTAAAAAATAGTCTGATAATCAACCGTAATGTGTCACGTCAACGATACTGAGCAGTACTGCATGAGCACCAAAATGACATGATACATTCTAATTGACCTACGGACAACATTCGCCGTCCACACAGAATAATTAATCCTATTTGAGACTTATTTTTCCGAGAGCAACCACATCTTTATTTAGCCACTCTTTTCTTATTGCTTTTGTCGTTTTCTCAAAAATTTCTGAGGTGAAAATTTTACTTTTTATAATAAGAATAATTAAATTATTTTTTATCACAATAACTTCATAATTAAATTAATAAAATACTATAATCTTTCCAAATACACTTAATCTTAATATGAATTATAAGATTTTAAATTTCAATTTGATGTATTTTGAATTAGAAAAAATATATATTTTTTGTAAGATTAAATTTATATAATAAAAATGGCTCAAATAAAATACACCAAAATAATATGGCTGAAAATATTCAAAAAATGATTTTTAGACTATTTTCTATGGTAGGTGAGTCCAATTTGAAAATTTACTCTCATATAGTCATATGAAACAAATTACATCCCGACAAAACAAAATTTAAGTACCAATCAGAATGAAATTGTCCGTTACTAAAGCTTCCATCGCAAAGAACGGGAGAAAGAGATCTAAGGTAAAAATTTTATAACTTATTTTAAGTAAAAAAAAAAAAGAGTAAATATAACTGAACTTTACTAATTGCGTACAAAATCTTAAAAGAAAAAGAAAATTTCTACATTCCGAAAAAAATTTTTTACCTCCATGAAAAAAAAAAAAAAAAAAAAACAAACAAAGATGAAATAAGATCTTCAAAAGAAAGTAGAAACATGCCTCAACTATTCCACAAAAATATTAAATAAATTAACAAAAAACAAAAGAAAAGGAAAACCTCAGAAACCCTCCTACAAAATACATCCTCCCCTTTCCTACAAATTTTCTTCCATATTATCATTTTCCGCCGCTGCCGGAGCTTGGCCGGCGACAATCAGGCCACCTTGCTCCACCTCCAACGCACCCTCCCCATCAAGCCACCGATCCATGGGCGAACACTCGCCCTTATGCGCCATCTTCCAATGCATCGCTTGACACGCTCGCGAGCAATAGTTAACGGCCCCACAAACAGAACATCGCCGGAACTCATGACGCCGCGTCTCCGGCCGTCCACAACCAACATGCGAACACATCCTTAGCCCCTCTCCTCCTTCACCAGCAGCAGCCGGTCCACCCCTTTCCGCGAACCACTCCACCATGAAGCGGTTCGCCGGATGCACCTCCGGCGTCGGCACGTTGCATCCGAAGTCACTAAGAAGGGAACATGGAGAGAACTTTACAGGTACTCTACCTTTCCTCACCGCTGCGAGTTCTCTGGCGTTGGCTTGGACTAAGAAGCGCCGCCCCTCGGCGACGTTTTGCCGCACGCCGTAGCCATCCTGGAGACAGTGCCCGAGCTCGCGAATCGCGTCTATGTGGCCGTGGTAGGCGGCGCGGGCACAGAGAGCGACTCCGGCGCGGAGATCTTTGTCGTTCTTAGATCCACCGCTACCATTGAATTGGATGATGGAGAGGGAGTGGAGAGCTTCAGGGTGAGACGCCATGGCAGCTTTTGCCATTAGGGATGCTCCGAGTCCCCTGTTTTGCAAACAGTAGAAACAGATCATGCCAAGACTGTAGCTGGCCTCGAGGTTTCCTGCTTCAGCGCAACTTTTTAGAAATCGGTGGGTTGATTCCGTCCAGTTCTTAGCCCTTACTGCAGTCCCCTTGACGGATAGCTTGGAAAGAACTATTCTATGTATTGCTAATTGGTTAAATCTCCGGCATCTGTTCATAAAAATCAGATTTTCTTTTAGAAACAGACCTTTAAAATTCGATTTTTTGGGGAAACATGGCTTAATCTGGCTTACGTGAGGAGGACGCTGATGAGATCTGAAGGAGAGCCAGCGGAGGCGGAGAGCTTGGAGAGGATGAGGAGGACAAGGTCGTCCGGGAGGCCGTTGAAGAAATCGATGTTCTGCTCCACTGAGCGAGCTCGTTTCCGAGGTTCGCTGCAATAGCCATCAAAGCCCCTTTTAACCGTATGCGGTGACGCCGCCGGCGATGGCCGAGGGTAGCAAAGCCCACTCCTGGTATGCATCTTAATTATTTTCCCTCTCTTGTTTGTCCGAATCTGAGAGGATGCCTCCTCCGAGAAGACCTCTTGGCTTAAATACTCAAACACAAAAGAACAGAGTAGTAAGAAATGATACAAACGGACATTTTTACCCTTGTATGTTATTACAAACAAGTCCTCGGTCAAATCTCGCTGACCCGACCCCAACGGTTGCTTTCGCGAACGGAAATCTTCCCATTGTTAACTAGTAATTAAAGCCATTAATGAAATATTAAACCTGATTAATCATATTTAGCATTTTACTATAAAATGGAATATGCAATTTGAAGTTTCACAGAGTTAATACGTGCGTTTAGTTATTTTTGGGGATCTCAGAAATGAAGCCAAGTAGGTAAAGAGTTGTGGAGACCGTTGCAACCGAGTATGCACCTATTCATGATCACTTATATAACATTGTGAACTACTGAGACGATAACTGTTATTGAATGTGCTGTGGGTTATAACGAAATGCTTTAACGGTCATAAGTTAGCTTTCTTGAAGAAAAAAATAACCGTTAGGAAGAGGGAGGGCCAAAAAATGGAGAGATTATTTTGTGCGGATATCGGACCGGTGAACTTTTCGGTGACGCTTGTCGGTATCGTGCTCGGTACCGAGCGTGGTATACTTTTAGGGTGACGTGACATATTTTTATTGGTTTTTGGACAATGTTTGGACTCTGTATATAATAATTTTTCCAAAAAAATGCCTACGATGAAGAGGTGAAGGTCATTGGCATGAACGGACAGGATGCACGTTCATCAGTCAATCAACATCGGCCTATCGATGACCGGAGGCCTTTGATAGACTGAACCTATTCGGGAATTGCATTTGCTGCAACTATTATCCCATCCAAGCCTGCACTACATCCTCCCTAGTTTTATGGCCATCACCATAAGCCACAATCGTCTCCAAAAGCTTGGTTTATATTTATTATTGTATTAGTTAGGACCAACACCAAGCTTTGCATGTGTTGCAGACAAACCCTTTTAGGCAATCATTGAAATGATATCATTGTAAGGGCACACCACGTTCATTTCTACTGAGCAATACTCCATGACCATATCTAGTAGACCTGAGCCACGAATATATTCAATATTGATTATATTAAGTATTGTTGTGTCTTGAAAAATTCGCAGCGATAGAGAGTGGTGTAGTTTAGCATCTTAGTTTTGTACGAAGATCCAACATATAAATAGATAAATAAGTAAGTTGAGCGTTTATAAGAAACATCAGAGTTTTTACGTGAAACCTCTGAAAAGGAGAAAAACCATGGTGCCTAGCCTAGTTTGAATGAATCCACTAGTATTTGCAATTGATTAAAAATGAGTCCCTTAAGAGGAAGGTCTTGGCTCGATGTTGCAAATATACATCATACAGAGTGCATTATGAAAGCAAGAATAAGAAGGGCGCGAGGTAGAACACGCCGGAGAGGAAGAGGAGAACAGAGGTTAAGAGGGAAAAAGTAAATTCAAATCTTATTACTGGTATGGGTCCCATATATATAATGGATTACAGGAGATTAATAAAACTAAGACTAATTACAGTGATTAAATATCCTAATCTGTCTTATGCTGCTTATATCCTCCCTCAAGCTAATCATTCGCTGAACGAATGGTGAGCTTGCTGTGAAGTTCGGTAAACCGAGAGACTGTGAAGGCTTTAGTCAAAATGTCGGCAAGCTGATCTTTGGAGGCTATGTGCTGGAGTTGAATGGCTTTGGTATTAATGTGTTGACGAATGAAATGATAATCGATTTCGATGTGTTTCGTTCGATTGTGAAAGACCGGATTCTTTGCGATGGCGATGGCTGAGGTGTTGTCGCAGTAGATTGTGGTTGGGGATGGCTGAGGGATGCCAAGCTCTTCGGCAAGACGACGCAGCCAGATGACCTCCGACGTGGCAGCTGAAAGGGATCGGTATTCCGCCTCTGTTGAGGATTTGGCTACGGTAACATGTTTTTTGACCGTCCAGGTGAGTAGTGTCCAACCAAGGAACGTGCAGTAGCCGGAGATGGATTTACGATCAGATGTATCGGCCGCCCAATCAGCATCGGTGTATGTGAGTAGTTCGAGAGGTCCCTTTGTAATTGGAAGGCCATGATCTATCGTGCCTTTGATGTATCGAAGAATCCGTTTGAGAGCTTTGAAGTCAAGATCTGAGGGATTTTGCATATGCTGGCAGACTTGATTGGTAGCAAAAGCAATGTCGGGCCTTGTGATCGATAGATATTGGAGAGATCCGGCCAGTTTGCGGTAAAGAGTAGGATCCGCGAACGGCTGACTTGAGGAGGTGATGTTCTTCCTGTTAGGAACAGCGGGCGTAGGCGCGGATTTGCAGTCCGCGTAACCTGCGTCACGAAGAAGTTTACTGGCGTAGTGATGTTGCGAGAGAAAGTAGCCTGAATTGGATTGAGTTACCTGGATGCCGAGAAACAACGAGATTTGTCCAAGCTGCTTGAGGTCGAAATGGGATTGTAATTGTCGGAGTAGAGACTGAATGGCGGAATCATTGTTTCCTATGACTAGAAAATCATCCACATAAATAAGAATATATATTTGTATGTTATTTTTGTGAAGAATTAAGAGGGAGGGATCGGAGCGACTGAATCCAAATCCTTGAGATTGCAGAAATCCTGTTAATTTGTTGAACCATTGCCTAAGAGCCTGTTTGAGTCCATATAGGGACTTTCGAAGTTTACACACCAGATTGGAAGTAGCGGAGTTGACGAAACCCGGCGGTTGCTTCATATAAATGTCGGCATCCAGATCACCGTGCAGAAATGCGTTTGATACGTCGAGTTGGTACATTGGCCATTTCCGGTTGACAGCCACAGTTAGAAGAAATCGGATGGTTGGCATTTTTGCAACTGGGCTAAAAGTTTCTGTATAATGATGCCGAATTGCTGATCATAGCCTAGTGCTACGAGTCTTGCTTTGTGACGGTCGATTTTCCCGTTGGGAAGGAGCTTCGTCTTATAAGTCCATTTACATCCGAGTACGGGTTTGTTTGAGGGGCAGGGGACAAGAGTCCATGTGTTTTGTTTCATCAGGGCGTCGTATTCAGTCGCCATTGCTTGTTTCCACACGTCGAGTTTCGAAGCTTGGTTGAACGTTGTTGGTGTAGGCGGGGACTGGACGTGAGTAAGAAGATTGAGCAGTTGTCTTGGTTTGCTTATTCCAGACTTGAGACGAGTTTGCATAGGATGAGTTGGTTGTTTGGTAATGTTCGGTGACGAGTCAATGTGAAGAGGATGACTGCTGTCACTATGAGTTCCACCAGATGAAGTGGTCTGAGTTGTTGCGGGATTGGGGAGAGTTGAATTTGGATGAGATCCCGTGAGGGGTTCGATTGTATTTGTGGGAAGAGCCGTGGGAGGTGGAAGTAGAAACGGAGAGATAGACTTTGAAGGTATTGTTGGTGAAGTATCTGGGCTTTGAGGTAGTTCTTTATAGGGAAAGTGATGCTCATTGAATTGTATGTGCCGAGAGATGTACGTCTTGCCAGTTTGAATGTCGTGGCACTTATACCCTTTGTGTGTTGCGGAGTAACCAAGGAACATACAATTTGCTGATCGCGGTGCCAGTTTTGTTTGAGTATATGGCTTGAGCCATGGGAAGCACTGACAGCCAAAAGTCCTAAGGTGGCTGTAAGTTGGCGGAATTTGGTAAAGTTTCTCGTAAGGAATTTGAAGGGAAATGGCTTTTGACGGTAGGAGGTTGATTAGGTAGTGAGCTGTCATCAACGCTTCTGCCCAAAATTTGTATGGTAGACTGGAGGCATGGAGAAGCGCACGAGTAAGATCAAGAAGATGGCGATGCTTGCGCTCAGCTAATCCGTTTTGTTCTGGCGTGTGTGGACAGGAAATTTGCTGATGAATACCACGATCTTTGAGGTAGTTTCTGAATTCAAGTCCGGTGAATTCTCCGCCTCCATCCGTGCGGAGAGCCTTTGGTGTGCAGCCGTGTTGCGTTTGGATCAAGTTGCAGAGTGTCTTGAATTTGGACAAGGTTTCTTGCTTCGAATGCATGAGGTAAAGCCAGGAGTAGCGCGTATGATGATCAATAAAGACGACATAGTAACGATAGCCGTCGATTGATTGGTGTGATGCGGGACCCCAGACATCTGTATGCAAGAGTTCGAAAGCAGATGTAGTAGTAGAAGTGCTTTTATTGAATGCTAATTTGTGGCTTTTAGCCAAATTACAAGAAGTGCAAGAAAAAGAATGCGAAACAGAGGAAATTTCGGAAAATCTATTTGCAAGAGTATTGAGAACATGAGAGCTGGGATGACCAAGCCGGGCGTGCCAGTCGTTTGCGGACGAGTGAGTTGTTGCGAGCGCCTTGTGTCGTGGTTCCGGAGATAGCTCGATTCGATACAGGCCGTTATGTAAACGACCATGAAGCAGCGGACGGTGGTCCTGAAGATCCTTGATGGTGAAACCATTCGCATCAAATGAGATAGAGACAAAATTATCGGTGGTTAGTTTAGATACAAAGAGAAGATTGTGCGTGAGGGTGGGAACATGTAAAAGATTGTGTAGGTGAAGCTTACGTGTGCTGTCCGGGAGCGGGAGAAGGCCTTGACCGGAAGAGTGAATGGGTAAGGAGGTTCTGTTTGCAATGGATATGTTGTCTGAGCCATTATAAGTCATAGGATGGTAGAGGTTACTAGCATATGGAGTGATGTGAGCCGAGGCACCTGAGTCTAGGACCCAGTCCTGATTTACTGAGCTCGGCGGATTCGCAAGCAGAACGCGTGGCTGTTTGAATTCTGTAGGTGCGTATTTAGGATTGTTACGATGCCAGCAATTAAGAGCTATGTGGCCAATTTTCCCACAAATCTGACAAGTCGGTCGAGACTGATTTGGGATCGTGGGGCTTGATTGAGTTGAGGACGGTGGTGGGTATGAAGATTGTTGATTCTTGTTTTTGAACGTCCTCCGATTGTTGGGTCTTCCGCGCGATTGGTTTGAAGATGAAGCGTAAAAAGCATTGGCCGGAGTACCAGTGGGCTGCTGATCTTGAGAAAGTTCTTGCTGAAGATGAATTTCTTCGTTGCAAAGAAGTGAGTAGAAGGTGTCCAAATCGATGGGAAGCAGAGAGTTCCGGATTGTAGACTTAAAGGAGTTGTAAGTCGGTGGAAGACCATTTAGGATGTGAAGCATAACATCCTCTGGTTCAATCTTGGAGCCAGATGCCGCAATATTGTCCACAATTGATTTGATTCGAGTGAGGTAATCTTGCAGTGTCTGATCTTTCAAGGTAACCCGATACAGTTCGTTCTTTAGCTGCATTACCCGGGAACTACTGGTGGGCTGGAGACGTTTTTCAAGAATCGTCCATGCTTCGTTGGTGGAGGTCGAAGTAATGATGTAGGGTAGAACGGGTTGTGAGACGGTCGAAAAGAGTGCGGACAGGAGATTACTGTCGACGATGCGCCATCGAGTGTAGGCATCGGAGTTTTCGTCTGCCGGAGCTTGTATGGTTCCGGTGAGATGTCCATTGTAACCGTTTGCAGTGAATTGTTGCAGAATCTGGATACGCCAAATTGGGTAGTTTTCCGATGTGAGCGGGTGAGGAGCGAGATTCTTGATGTTAGATACAAGAAATTTGAGCGGCTGTGGGATGACGATTCACGAATATATTCAATATTGATTATATTAAGTATTGTTGTGTCTTGAAAAATTCGCAGCGATAGAGAGTGGTGTAGTTTAGCATCTTAGTTTTGTACGAAGATCCAACATATAAATAGATAAATAAGTAAGTTGAGCGTTTATAAGAGACACAAGAGTTTTTACGTGAAAACATCTGAAATGGAGAAAAACCACGGTGACTAGCCTAATTTGAATGAATCCACTAGTATTTGCAATTGATTACAAATGAGGCCCTTACTTAAGAGGAAGGTCTTGACTCGATGTTGCACATATACATCATACAGAGTGCATTATATGGTGGGAGTTGGAAGAATCAGTGTTGATATGTTCGTTTGGGCGGCAGGTCCATAATCGGGTGAGCGATATTAGAGAAACTGTTGTAAAAGAATCTTATATTCACTTATATCATGATGGTAATTATAACACTAGTACAATAATCATTATCTTAATATTTCCACTTATGTGGTTATACTTTAAGCACCATCGTAAAACTTTGAGATCCCAATATGATCCACCTGCCACTTACAGAGAAAATTTTAGATAGCCTATGAACACTTTGTAAGTTCTTAAGCTTTGATTAATCCCAAAATCCTGATTAAGAATCCAAAACCTATATTCAATTACCTCCTTTTTTTTTGGTAATAGATTAAAAATCATGTTGTTCTCATTCTCTAGCTACCTGAAGCACTTCTTAACTACACGTACAGGCGATGATAAATATCTATTTTAAAGAAGATGAGTAGTGCCTGCTTCGCACATTAATATGTTACAATTGTTAATGTTACATTGATGGAGGGGAGATTTCAAAGTCTAAGCTATGGCTGATGCTTAGGTTTTATTTAGGATATATTTTTTGCTGCTTTAAAAAGCTGCTTTTTAGTCAAAAAATTTCTTAAAAACAAGAGAAAAGCAGTAGTATAAAGCTGTCCCAAATGAAGCCTTTTACTGCTTCTTAAAGCCGCTTTCAAGTACAAAAATTTTAACTTTTGTACTAAGAACCCACTTTAAGTAGTCAAAAAGCCGTCCCAAACGAAACCTTAGGCTTACTTTGAGTTTGGGACACCTTTTTTATTGCTTCTTAAAACAGCTTTCTAGTTTAAAATTTTAAAATTTTATATTAAAAAGTTGTTTTAAGAAACATTAAGAAAGTCATCCCAAACAAAGCCTTAATTACCAAACTCTCACAGCGCTTTCTGTAGGACTTGATCACTTAAAAGTGTTAGATTTCATTTGGGACAGCTTTTTTATGCTTTCTAAAGTAACTTTCTAGTCTAAAATCTGTTTTAAACTCTCTCACTTATTAATTTGGGAAGTAAATGTATATTTGCTATTTCCCTGGTATACACAACTCAAATCTTGACGTAAATTATCGAGTCCTCAAAATAAATCAAGTTATTTTTTGTTATTGCCAGTTAGTTTGTATTATCATTGATAATACGTCAAATTTATATAATAACACTCATAATTCTCTTAAAAAATTATTTAAAATGTTAGCTAGTGTCTTTTGATCTTACAATTAAAAAAAAAAAAAAAAGAAGTTGCAAGATTTTTATGAGCTAATGATTTGACACCTAAATTATAATTATTATTCAGCTGTATTAAATACAAAGGAAAATAAGGAGCCGGCATGCTTGAATTCTTCTAACCACATAGCTCTCTACTAATTTGTTTGGCATTGTTGCCTTCGATTAATTTGGTTTATTTTACTGTTAATTTTGCTAAGGGTTGTCAAATGAGACAATTCAAAGAAAAATACAGCAAACTGCTTCGAATATAATTTGATCAACTTGGCAGGGCCTGATTTAATAATTGTATTAGTGGTCTTGTTAATTACTGCTAATTTTGTAAGATTGTAGTATAAAGACAGAATGAATGGGATAAATCATGAGGCTAAGGATTAGAAGAATTCAAGCGAGAGTAAACAATTGGGCTTATAGTTATGCTTGTAATGCGATATAGCTAGGAAGATGCTAATTTTATGTTTTTAATTTTCCTTTTTTCTTTTAAGTTGCTTTCCTTATGTTTTGTATATTAATGGTTTATAAAATCGACATATGGTAAATAAAAAAGGGGATTAAAGATTAATTACAATTTGGTAATTGCTTTAAATGGAAGAAGTAGGGTTTGTATATTTAAAGATGATACAGTATGTGA